GCGGGCCGCGGCGCGGGCCCACGGAGGGGCCGGGCGGCCGGGCGGGGAGCCGAGGGGGCACGCAGACCCATAGGCAGCAATTCCTCCCGTCTCTGGGGACAGGAGGGGACAAGGAGCATCCCGGTGCTCCTGCCCCTGGCGTGCCCAAAGCTGCCGGTGAGCCCCGGCTCAGCCGTGCCGCGGTGGCCGGGGCTGAGCCTTCCCCAAGGTGTGAGTGCAGCCCACTGCACCGGGACCCCATGGCTGCCCTATTGTGGAACCCGGTGGTCATTTTTTCTTTTTTTTTTTAAAAAAAACTTAATTTTATTTTGGTTATTATTTTTCATAACACTTCATATACCAGTGACTTGTAACCAAGAAAGAATTTGCATTGGGAGGAAATCTATTTATGCACTGGGGAGGGTGGGAAGGGAGGCATTTGTTTTCTGGGTTTTTTTGCTAGTGTTAGAGAAATAAAAGTATCTAAGAAACAACAAGGTGTCGGTGCCTTTTGTCTAGCGGTGACCTCAGATAACACTTTAATATTAGACTGAAGAGGCAGCGGACGAATGGCTACAGTATTTCAACCATTCGGGAAGGGCCTTGCCTTGCCTGTAGCTCGCTCCAGGGCTGGTGGCACCTTCTCCTTCCTCCCCTTGTTTTGGGAGGGTATTTTCCCAGTGGACTTTAGTTTAGCTGTAGCTGCTCAGTAGCCAACCCTCTTGGAGGACTAAAAAAAACATATTTGTACCTGGCAAGTTTGTATAAAGCCAAGGAATGAAAGTGGCTGGTTTGCAAATGTGCGGAGCTGGTCCCTGCGGGCTTTCCCGAGGGACACGGGGGTAGAGGTCCCTCTGGGGTGGCCCAGGGGTGGCACGTGCCATGCAGGGACCCTGCATCAGCCACAGGCAGCAGGTCTGGCCGAGCCATCGGCCCTGCACCGGGCAGCAAACCCCAGGGGCCGGGCCTTGGACGGGACTGGGGCACGGCGGGTGCCAAAGCTCCCCTCTCCCGCGGGGCAGCCTGGCTGTGAGCTGGGACGGTCCCTGCCCCGCGCAACGCACTGGTGATGATGCTGCAGGGAGCTGTGCATGCAGCACCCAGCGCCGTGCGGGGCTCACGGTGCCCCAGGTACCACTCAGACACCCCAAGGGACACCACAGCCACCTGCATCCCCCTGTTTTGGGGATTGCTCCAAGCCATCCCTTCCCAGGGAGGCCATGCAGGCTGGGGCAGGGAGAGCAGGACCAGGCAGGGAGCCACGGCCACAAGCCCCTTTATGTCACCCTGCAGCGATGCCCGGCCACTGCGTCCCGCCTGAAGGAGGTGCTGCCGGTGCGGGGCAGGCGCTGCTGGGCCGTTAATGATTTGCAGGATGACGTGGGGACTAAAGGCCTTTCCAAGGGTCGCTGCTGGGGAGGCACGTGGAAGGGTGCCCGCCCTCGCCCAGCCCCGCCACCGGCAAGATGGTGTCTCTGACCGACTTCCAGCGTAAGTGGGCGGGCGGGCTGGGGTGGCCGTGTCCCGGTGGCGATGCCCGGCCCTGTGGGACCAGGGCACACCGTGGGGATGCTCCACAGTGCCAAGCCGGGGCTGGAAGCTGCTGCCTGGAGTCATCGTGGCAGGGAGAGGGTGCAATGGGAAGCCCCATCCTGGGGGATGTGGCAGGAGCCCTGCCGGGATGCGGGGAGCAGGCAGGGCTCTGTGTGGGGACCAGCACCGCAGGCGTGCAGAGCCAGGGTTGCCCTCACCCTCTGCTCCAGGTCTGCATTGGGAACAGCAACTGGGGAGGTGCCCAGCTCGTCCGGAGAGCATTGCCAGCCTCTCCCACCCGCTGCCTGTAGACACCCTTTGTACCACTGTTCAGAAAAATGCTGGAGACAACCTTCCCGTTCATTTTTTCTTTGTGGTTTATTCTTTATCTGGCAGCCCAGAGGAGTTCTTGGGCACCTGACAGTCTCCCCAAGGCTTAGGCAGATGGAAAGGCTGTTTCTAAGCTTTGGAGACAAATCCAAAGTACACTTCTGGGAGGGAACAGGTCAGAGAGGTGCTGAGGAGAGCAACCACAGCCCAAGGTGGGGCCTGAGCTGCGTGGCCGAGCCCCCATCTCAGCCCTCCTCCCACCCTCCGCAGGGATCGGCGTGGGACTGGTCGGCTTTGGCCTCTTCTTCATCCTTTTTGGGATGCTCTTGTACTTTGACTCAGTGCTTCTGGCCTTCGGGAACGTGAGTACGGTGGGGCTGGGGCTCCCTGCAGCAGGCGCTGATGCCCAGGATGGAGCAAAGGGTCCATCTGGGCAGGGCTTCTCTGACCTGCTCCCCTTCATCCTCCCAGATCCTCTTCCTCTCCGGCTTGGTCTTCATCATCGGCTTCAGGAGGACCTTCACCTTCTTCTTCCAGCGGCCAAAGCTGAAGGGCACCAGCTT